TTTTGGGTTTTGGGTTTAGGGATTCGCCCTGCAATCCTAGTTGCAGTTACAGGGGGGTAGATCTATCCCCTTTTAGGGGCCCCCCTTTTCATAAAGGCGCCGTACTACATGGGGGACCTAAACGGAAACCCGAGTTTAGAGAACTACCCACATCCTTACCGAAACCTATATTAACCCTCAAACTTTTTTTGAAGACTCCGGCCCTAGCTTCAAAGCTTCCTTTGACAGTGCATCCTACCCTAAACCCTACACCCTAANNACACCCCTAAGCCTTAAACCCTAAACCCCAAACCCTTAAACCCTAAACCCCAAAGCCTTAAACCCTAAACCCTGAACCCCAAAGCCTTAAACCCTAAACCCTAAACCCCAAAGCTTTAACTCCTGAGCCCGAAACCCCAAACCCGCAAACCCTAAACATCTTCCTTTGAATCTGCGACTCTGGATCAGGTCCCCGACGTGAGGCAGGATGAGATCATCAGAGAGGCCACAGCGACGCTTCAGGTTTTAGGGTTTCGGGTTTAGGGTTCAGGGTTTAGGGTTTAGTTAGGGTTTGGGGTTTAGGGTTTAGCACTAAAGCCGTGGTTCCTGTGATTATTGAAAACGGTTATTATGGTTTAGGGTCTAGAGGCTCCAGTAATTGGAATAAAGTTTATGTGTATGTTGCAGTACCGTTTAGGGAATATTACTGCTGATTATTCAGATCTTTTACGAACCTCTACTTAACTAGAGGATCAGGGGACTTAGCAGGTCAGACGTAGGGAGAGCGCTTTAAGCATGAGAGCCCCAGTCACTACTGTTCTGTTTCATAACCTACTTGCCTGATCCATACGATCCTAAACCCTAAACCCTTGGGCTCGAGGATGGCTTGGGGTTCGGGTTATGGGAGGTTCGAGCAGGGTGAAGAGCTAGGTTCCCCGGTAGTCCACTTTTGCCCTTTGTCTTTTTTGGGTTCCCCCATCACAACCGAATACTAGGAACAAAGGGTACCGTTATCGTAAAGAGGCTACTGAGGAAGGAACCTAGAGAACATTCCTTTCTTAATTTCATATCATCGGTGCGAGGCTACCGGGCGGCAGGGTCTTCTTTGGCTTTGAAGCTTTGGGCAGCTTCTGCCAGAGAATGGGGTTTACTTCCCTGAACCCCAACCCCTAAGCCCTAAACCCTAATTGGGTGTGTCAACTTCAACTTTCGGGCTCCTGGGGCCATGGGGCGTTTTAGTCTGTATGGCGTCAGGGCGGGGATCTAGCAGAGGCTCAGGCACCGTGGTATTCGCTTGAGGGCCTGCATACTCTGAAGCCGCGGAAGCCGAACTTAAAACAGCAGCTGGCCTTGAACCCTAAACCCTAGACCCTAAACTCCTCAACCCCTAAACCCTAAACTCCTCAACCCCTAAACCCCTAAAATCTAAACTCTAAGCCCCTAAACCCCTGAACCCCTAAACCCCTAAACTCTAAGCCCCTAAGCCCCTAAACCCCTAAAGCCCTAAACAGTAATCCCTCAACCCTGTACCATGAACCCTAAACTCCACCGATGCTTTCGAGCCCTGAGCTTTTTCGGCAGGTTCCGAAGGTGGACTACCACGAGTTGGTTAAGCAGATCGAGCTCCCGGCCGCACATCCGCAAGCATAGGGGTTTAGGGTTTAGGGTTTAGGCTTCAGGGCTAAGGGTTTTAGGCACCCTGAACACTACTTAGGGGTTCAGGGTTTAGGGTTTGAGGGTTTGGGGGAAGTGAACCCCTACGCCTCAAACCCCAAACAAAAACAAACTAAACCCCAAACCCTGCTTATGGGTTCGGAATGTTTGGGATGTACTTTCCTTCACTGGCGCCCCCCTCCTCCAGGTAAGTGGGACTTCAGAGCTGTAGGGTGAGTTAGGGAATTCAGGTTTAGGTTTTGGGATGTAGGGGTTCAGGGTTTAGGGGTTTAGGGTTTCTGCTTGGGGGTTTAAGGTTTGGGGCTTAGAGGTTTTTATGGTGCAAGTTTAGAATTTAGGCTAGGCTCCTGAGTGGTACCCTTTTGCCCTTTGTATTTTGGGGTCTCCTTACCAAAACCGAATACTAGGAAAAAGGGTGCCCTTACTATTTAGGGGTCACTCAGGAGCCTGGTAGGGTAAAAACCCTAAACCCTAAACCCTAAACCCTAAACCCTAAATTAGGAGTTCCAGGGCTCAAAGGCTGATGGAATTGAAATCAGCAGGCCGGCACCCAGGAGCCCCAGACAGGTCGTATGTGTGTAGCCTGCAGTGTAGTGCCATGCAGCTTATGTTGATAATGGAAAGGAATAAAAAGTAGTAGCGTAATGTATGCATGTGTGCATGTATCGATAGATAGGTAAGTAGGTAGATAGCTAGCTAGCTCGATAGATAGACAGATAGACAGATAGACAGATAGATAGATTCACGCCTACATACACATTGACCTGTATGTGTTTTAGTCTATGTGCATGTATGCATCTTTGCCAAAATAGCCAACTGCTTGTGTGTTTGATGTACAACCGTGAGACACCGGGTGCAGACAGGGAACAAGAACACAGCTATCCTAGACCTGCAGCAAGAAGGAACTGCCTTCCATCATTTTCAAGAGCTACCTCCGGATTCAGCTTTTCGGTGAAATGCCAAGGGTCCCACCAGGGATTAGGGGTAAAAGCTTAGGGACTAAGGCTTGGGGTGTGGGGTTCTCCAGCTCTCTACCTCAAAGCCAGAACCCTCAATCCTAAGACATTTTCAGGTGGGTAGTTCCCGCTGTAGGAGCCTTATAGAAGGTCTATATACCTTATAGAAGCCTTATAGAAGCCTTATAGAAGCCATATATGCCCTAAACTCCCCACCTGTAGTTTCCTTTAATCAATTCCAGCACAAAAACTCAGATCCACAGTACAAGGCCCCATACTTGAACCAACTGGTCCGAGCCTGGAGCTTTCAGCCGTTCTTCGGGGGAGGCTTTGGATTTCAATTTGTATGGTTTAGGGTTTAGGGGGTGTTCGGGGGTTTGTTGTAAGTTTTGGCTTTCATGCCTCGATATTCCCCACAAGCCGAAGCTCAAGACCCAGGTGGCGCAAGGTCGGGAGCGTGTCTTGGAGGTCCCCATGACGCTGACTCAGGCACGGCCGCAATCCGCATGCCTAAAGTTCAGACCTTAAATCAAGGACCCCGAAGCCTACAGTAGACACGCTAGTCCCGGTTGCGCCTCTAACGCGGACAGAAAAGAGCCTTGGCACAAACTCACGCCTTAATCCAACAACCGAAGTGACGGCTGAGCTGATGCCTAGACCACCTTCGCCGGAGAACAGGGCCTTGAATCCGAAACCTTAAACCCCATCAACCGTAGCAAAGTCTTGAGGGTTCACGGGTTTAGGACTCCGAGACTACTGCCATCTACTCCCCTTCTGGGGTTCAGAAGCGCTTGTTGCGGTTCTAAGCTTGATAATGGTTCGGTAATTAGCGTGCTATAGGCGTTGTATAGGGGTTCTTTTTGTGCTTTCGGGTTCGAGAGGGTTTGTGGTATGGCATCGGGCTCACAAACTAATTGTAATTCTCGAAGTCGGAACCCTTATTGCAAAGACACGCCAAACCCTAAATCCCTAAACCCTAAACCCGGGCTTTCCAAGCCGCACAGCCCGATCTCCCAAGACTTCCACTGACATGTTGTGGCAGGAAGCCTATGTGGAAATCCCGCGCTACGAGCGCGTGGAAGTTCAGAAGCAGGTGGCCAAGCCGACGGTAAAGAAGGCCGGGATGAGTCGCACCTAGATTATAAAGTTTATAAAGGGAAGGGCTCTATCGTGGGTTCTAGCAGGCTTTTATGAGTTTTTAGAGGTTCGGTGGACTTCGTAAGTAGGGTTGTATGTCAGGTAATTGTAGCTGTATCTCCTTAAGACCCTGAGTGTGGCACTTACAAGCCTGCTTGTTACGTCCGCCGATCCTCCTAGCTGGGGCGCAGGTGGGGAATTCCCGAATCCATGAGAGGCTTGGGGGTTTTCGGTTCAGGGTTTGGGGGTTTCGGGTAAGGTTTCGGGTTTTGGGGGGTTTAGGCGAATTCAGCATGAGGGCCAAGCTTTGGAATCCCAACAATTGTCCATCGCATCGTGAAGCGACGTGAAGCCTGATGCCCTAGAACATCACGTCGTCGTAAGCAAAGATGAGTGCAGAGGCCATCCTATGGATGGGAAGTTCCTCCCCGTTCAGGTTAGTTGAAGCCTTGAGCCCTGAGCCCTAAACCTTAAACCGCAAACCCTTAACCCTAAACCCTAAACCTTAAACCGTAAACCTCAACCCCAAACCTCAACTCCTTAGGATTTCAACAGGGAGCATGGGGGGAGAAGGCCCCTTGAGAAAGGAGTTATTCCGTCAGGTTTTGCATAAGCTGTATATGTTTTACAACAGCTGTATGTCTCTAAGCTCCTTTGATAAAGGACTACCCCTTAGACCAAAGAGCCATCCTTCATCTGACTGTTTAGGTATATTGCTTAATGAGCGGCGCCAAGGCGATCGGTGTTTTTCGGTGATGCACTAATGGATGCGCAAGCTTGTCGCAGCTTCCTTGCAGACCCCAATCTAAAACTCTGTTCAGGTTCAGTGAACTTTTGCCCGTACGCTCCTCGAACCCCACACGTCCGGCCCTGCTAACCCAACATTCGTTTGGGTTGGGGGAGACAGAATTTGAAGATTCATGTCCATTAGGGGTAAATGGGGATGTAAGGGGGCTGCTGCACCATGAAACCCTTGCTCCAAGACCGTAAGCCGCCCTAAACCCTCAACCCTAAAACTCAATTCTCAGTGGAACGCCAAATCACACACCCTAAACACCTCACCCCTAAGCCCGAAATGTCGATCTTTAAATCATAGGAAGGAGCCTTTGTAAGGGTAAGCGATGCGTTACTGGCATGGGGTCGGGGGCTCAGGGTTTAGAGTCTCTGACCAGGTGCCGAAGCATGTGGAGAAGCCGGTGGTGCAGGCCAGGGACTTGTCAGGGTTCTACATGGATTCAGTTTCTTACCTTGGACATTATCATCAGAAGCATCATGTTTGACGTGCAACTGCTTGTCGCCACCTTGCTTTTCCAAGGTCGAAAAGACATGCTCAGTCTTTATCGGTTTCGAGCACAAGCGGTTGTGTCGACCTTGGCTGTGCCTTGCGGGGAACCCATGTCGTGGCAAAGCATGGATGGGGGGCGGTTGTTTTATGAACCGCTGGACGGGGGAAACTGTCCAGGCGTGGCGGGGCAAGCCATGGCAGGACAGTGGTTGTTTTGCTCTCCATTGGACATGGAGATGCTAGCTACGGACGAGGACTGTGGTCCTAAAGCGCTACTATTAGCCCGAGTTCCTGCAGGTGCTGCTCCTATGCTTGCTTTGTGTGTTCACACAAGCAGTGTTTGCGTGGCGTCGAGTACACTGTCCAGTTCGTCTTCAGTGGGGTCTTCAGACGAGACGGTGTTCGAAGGTCTCGAGGGCTGTAGCAGTGGGTCATTGGAAGCAGAGGTGCTTGCCGCGGACACGGTGCTTGCACAAGTTCTTGACGACTCCGGAAGTGAGTCAATGGAAACAGAGTTGCACGCAGCATGCTTGGAGGCAGAAGTGGCCACGCCCAAGGACCACAAAACATACTGTCGTCTTAAGTCCCGCCTAGATCGAAATTTCTCGGGTCAGTCGGTCCTGAATAGTAGAGTTTCTAGCGGTAGTCCCAGTTGGGGTACAGTTGCCCTTAAACCCTAAACCCTAAACCCTAGCCTTACCTCCTAAGTCCCCGGATCCTTTAGGTAGGTCTCTTACATTTTGGGATTTATTGGCTCCGAGTCTTCTGGCATATATAGTTTTTCAACTAGATCCTTTTCGGATTGAGGGGTTTGGAATTTAGTGTTTGGAGTTTAGGATCCTTGTCAAAGTCCTATAGGGACTTCTTGAACCTCAGGGCTTAGAATGTGTTGGGGTTGCTCCCAAAATTGCTTGGGGTGCACCTCAATGGCAGCTATGGAGTGTGTTTACACTTCGTGCCTGCGGAGCTTTAACTTGATGCGTGTTTAAAGGTTTTAGGGTTCGTCGAAGGTCTTAGGGTTTAGGTTTTCGGGCTTTTGTCAGGAGGCTATGACGCATTTTCCCATTTGGCATTCTTTCGTTCAGGTAGGGCTGGGGGTTCGTGGCATTGTGTCTTTATATCCCCTTTTAAGTTCTGGTCGGCTTAGGACTCAACGGGATGTTCCCTGTGAGCTGGAAATGTGTCCGGGTGGGGACTGCAAATAGCGAGTTCCGACAGGCATTGCAGGTATAATTTAGAAGCCTGGATGATTACCAATGCTACTCCTCAGGGTTCCTTATTGTGACTATGCTCCAAAACACCGAAACCCGATTCCTGCTGTTGAAGGCCCCTTATATTATAAACTTTAAGCCTTAAACCCTAAAACCCGAAACCCCTAAACCCTTAACACTTAAACCCCTAAGCCCTAAAGCCCTAAACCCTAAAGCCCTAAACCCTTAACACTTAAACCCCTAAACCCTCAAACCCTAAACCCTAAATTTCGGTTTAGGGTTTAGGGTTTAGGGTTTAGGGTTTAGGGCTGGCCCTAAATCCTAAACCCAAAGGATTTAGGGTTTAGGAGGTTTCGGGCCCGGGTGCAGGGTCAACACAACACCTTAAATCCGAACCCAGGGCCCTTTAGGGTTTAGGGTTCAGGGTTTAGGGTTTAGGGTTTAGGGTTTAGGGTTTAGGGTTTAGGGTTTAGGGTCTATCAAGTACCCTTGCTGTTTCTGGGTTTTGGGTTTAGGGTTTGGGGTTCAGGGTTTAGGGTAATTCCTGAACCCGAAACCTTCAACCCCAACTTTCCTACATCCAGTTATGGCAGCGAAATATAGAAGCTTAAAAAAGTAGACCCCAAATAGTGAAAGATCCCAAATCCTAAATCCTAAAGTCCTGAAGCCCGAAACCCTTAAAACCCCAAACCCTACAGCCTAAACCCGCAAAGCCCAAACCCCTAAAACCCTCAAGCCCCAGAGCCTTAAGCCCTAAAGCCCTTAAACCCTTAAGCCCTAAACCCTAAAACCCTTAACCCCTAAAGCCCTAAAGCCCTAAAGCCCTAAAGCCCTAAAGCCCTAAAGCCCTAAAGCCCTAAAGCCCTAAAGCCCTAAAGCCCTACAGCCTTAAAGCCTTAAGCCATACAGCCCTCGATCCCGAAGAGTGACGGAGCAGGTCCGTGAGCGAACGCAGCAAGTCCCCAGCATCACGATGAAGCAGGAGCTGGTCGAGGCATTCTTGGGGGCCTACGCGTTTGAGGCTTTACGGGTTTAGGGTTTAGGCTTCTAGGTTTTTTTTGGGTTTGCGGGTGTAGGGTTCAGGGTTAGGGGTTTTAGGGGTTTCGGTTTTAGGGGCTTAGGGCTTAGAGGTTTTGGGGATAGAGGTTCAAGGTTTGGGGGTTTTAGGCTTTCAGGGGTTTATGGGTTAAAGGGGTTTAGTTAGGGCTTTAGGGCTTTAGGGGTTTAGTTTTAGGAGTATTTAGGGGTTCAGGATTTTTGCTTGGAGGTTAGAGGTTCAGCGTTTTTGGGTTTAGGGTTCAGCTTGCTGTTGAATCGTCTCAGAGTGGAGGTTTAGGGTTAGGGGTTTAGGGGTTTAGGGTTTAGGGGTTTAGGGGTTTAGGGTTTTTGTTTGGGGGTTAGAAGTTAAGCGTTTTCGGGTTTAGGGTTCAGCTTCCTCTTGAATCGTTTCAGCGTGGAGGTTTAGGCTTAGGGGTTTAGGGTTTAGGGGTTTAGGGTTCAGGGGTTTAGGGGTTTAGTGGTTTAGGGCTTTAGGGTGTAGTTTGTCCTTGAGGGGTTTTACCTTGGGTTTAGGGTTTCAGGGTTCAGCTGCTTTTCCATGGGTCGGGCTTAAGTCTGCGTGGTCGGTCTTTGCTTCGTTTTTTTTGTTGTGGTTTTGAAGTGTTTTGGGGGGTTTACTATAGAAGCCTAAATATAATTACCAAGAAGATTCCTTCGGTTCCTCTTTATAATTACACCATAAAGGAGCCCCAAACCCCATTCTAATTATTCAGGCCCTACATTAGGGCTTGGTCGCTATTGCGCTCATCTGGTTGGAAGGACGGGTTGTTGGAACGTGGGGTGTGAGTGCAATTAATTGGGAGCCTTAATAATTAGAGTACGGTTTTGGGGCCCGTTATACTATATTTTTAATAAGGAACCCCCAGAATAGTATAGGTAATTATTTAGGCCCCTATATTATAAGGTTATACAAGGGGTTTCGACTTTGGCATTCAGGGTCTTTGGCCATAGAGCCTGTAGAGGGTCTTGCAAAGATTGATCTGGGCAGTTTCTTGAAACTTCTTAGGAACATCAGCGCATGCAGTTTTTCAGGAGAGGAGAGTGTATGCCAAAACCGTAAACCCTAAACCCTAAACCCTTAACCGGGGTTTAGGATAGGGGTGTCTGCAAGGAGAAACCGCAAGGATTGGGTTCCACTGTCGGCTTCGATTTGTGAGACCCGGGCCTTAGCCTTAGACTCTAAGCCGTATGCCTTAAACCCTTAGACCCTGAACCCTAAAACTTAAACTCAAACCATAGGCCCTAAACCACCACCCCTGAGCCCTCTGTAGTTGAGCCTTCTTGTAGCCTTAGGGCAGGTACTTTAGGACCCTACGTATACTATGTCCCATGATCCTCCAAGCAAGCTGCAAGCATCCAGGTGCCTCGACCCGAGTTCATGGAGATGATCAAGCCGCTCATCTGAGGTTTTTAAGTATGGGCCCCTAATATGGACCCTCAGGCCTTTCTAGGGACCCTTAAGGGTACATATAGGGTATATGTAGTAGGTTTATAAGGATCCCAGGGTTAAGGGCCCATGCTAGGGGCTCATGGTTTCAACCTTAGAGCTCAGAGAATGACGTAGCAGCTTTTTGAGGAGTTTGAGATTGGAGGACTCAGATTTCAGGATCCAGAGGGCAACATCTAGAATGTAGGATGCAGGGGTCCAAGGTATGGGATTTAAGAAAACGGAGTGGGGACCTTAACTAAACACCCGGATCCTTGATTTCGGAACCCTCCCCAAACAGATGCGCCTGCCAAGATGGATCTGTACAGGCAAGTTGCAGGGGGTTTCTGCATCCAGGGTAAGAGCCGGGCTCTGCAGGGTGGTAGGTTACCCAGACCCTAAAATGTACTGTAGTACCTTTTATTGGATGACTTGTTTTATGCTTAGGATCCTATAATAAGAAACTAACCTAAACCTTAAACCCCAAACCCTAAACCCTAAACCCTAAACCCTAAGATAACTCCCAAAAGGTACTATATTTAAGGGTCGAAGTACCGTGTCCTCAGCCCGAAGTTAAAAAGCCTGGTTCCCAAGCCCGAGCTCTGAACTCTTCACTAAGACATTAATCTAGGTCCTTAATAATTGCCTATATTATTTTTTTGGGGGCTCCTTATTATTATTATTATTGTTATTATTATAGTATAACATACCCCCNNACCCCCCCCCCCCCCAACCCTATTTTAAATTAATAAGGCCCCTACATCAACCCTAAAATCCTGTACGATGGCGTAGGGATGTGGAAGAGCAGGGCTGAGTTAGTCGCCTGAGCCATTACCAATAATATCATTCCACAGGGCTCCCAAGGATGGTATACTTCACACCAAAAACCTACCTTAAGAACCCAAAACCCACTTTTGTGTAGGTTCTTATTATAAACCCTAATATGGGATCTGTAGGGACCCTACAAAAAAGTAGGATTTGGGTTCTTAAGGTATTCTAATCCCTAAACCAGAACCCCTAAACCTTAAACGTAGACCCTCAGACCTACAAGCCCTATTCTAACCACGAAGACTCCTATGTTATGAGCTTGTTTTCGAAGCTTTGGATGCTTGCAGATTCAGGGCTTCTCCGGTCTAAGACTTCGCGGCTTATCGGGCCTAGGGTTTAGGGTTTAGTATTCAGGGCTTAGGGTTCAAGGCTTAGGGTTTGGGGCTTAGGTTTTAGGGTTTAGTATTTTGGGCTTAGTGTTTAAGGCTTAGGGTTTCGGGTTCAGGATTTCGGGCTTAGGGTTTAGGGTATTCAAACCCAGCAGCCCTAAGTCTCAAAATGGTCCTAAAGACCTTGTGCAATAGGTGTCGTTCTCTAAAGTAGGCCCACTGTTATTGATAAGAAGGGACTTGAAAAAATGGACCCAAGTTTAGAGGACCACGAATATGGTCTTGGGGCCGAAAGCCTTAGAATGTGAGCCCTAAAGCCTTGCGGAACGGACTTTGGGATTTCGATGTTCGTCGTCGTGGCTCCGTCTTGAGATTGTTGGGAGAGGGTTCAGGGATTTTACGGTTTACAGTTTAGGGTTCGGGAGGGATACATTCGCTTTTTTCTCAGTTTCTGTAAAGTGATGAGATCTTGGATTTAGTTACGGTTCCCTACTAATGCGCACCAACTGCGCTTGCCTACTATGGTAGCCTCAATGATTGCGAATCTTACTGCCTTGCGCGGTCCCCAATCAGAAAGAAATTATAGTGCAACCTACCCAAACCTTGTTCTTACTATTAAGGCCCTATGTTAAGGCCACCCTGAACCTGAATCGCTATACGTTGCATTCCAGAGCCCAGGCAAGTCCCCGTGGAGGAAGTGCGCCATATTGAGAGGAAAGTCGACAGACCGCAGGCAAAGAACTGTTTCGGGTTTCGGATTAAGGGTTTAGGGGTTCAGGGTTTAGGTTTGGGGTTTAGGGGTTTCAGGGTTTAGGGTATAGGGTCTAGGGTACAGGGTCCAGGGTTTAGGGTTTTAGGGGTCGAGGGTCTAAGCTTCGAGGGCTCTGAGTTTTAGCCCATCAGGGTTTAGGACGTCAGACCCTGAACTTGGCATCCTTCTGCATGGTTAAAGGCTCTTATTCCCCCCATGGTTCCTTACAGGTTTAGGGTTCAGGGTTCCTACTTCAACGATGTCCAAATTCGATGCTTTAGCCCTGGAGGCCACAACATCCCCAGGTGGTTGAGGCCTTGATGAAGATTCCGGTGTCGCACAAGGACGAAGCCCTGAACACAACTCTACACGCTAAATCCTAAAAGCCCCTAGGCCTAGAACCCTTGGCATGTTGCTGCCCTTGAAGCCGAGGTAGCTGCAGAGTTGGCTGATAGCGCTGTCGGGACAATAAGCAATAACAGTGGAAAACTGGACATCAATGGCCCTGTCTTACTTGCTTCGGGCACTCTGTCTAAACCCCTACAGTTTAACTAATAACTCTGCTGTAACTTTATAAGTCCTGTCACGCTTGCACCCTGCATCCCCAATCCTGGGCCCTAAAGACGACGAGCCGATCCTAAACCCTAAAACCCTAAAACCCCCAAACCCCTAAACCCCTAAACCCCTAAACCCTAAACCCCAACTCTAAACCCCTAAATCCCTAAACCCCCCAAACCCCTAAGCCCCTAAAACCCCAAACCCCCAAACCCCTAAACCCAACTACCCTAAAGCCCCCCACTCTTCAGACCCAGCCCCAATAGAAGCCAAAATGGAGCCTCAAGAATCCTACACTAGCCCTCAGAAGGCCCAATACTTCATTATAAGATTACGGCCCCCTATCCTAATTCAAGGTATATTCCTTAACTTAAGGGGTATGGGGATCCTTAAACCCCTAAACCC